GAAAACCAGTCTCTTAGAACAGGCTTGCAAGAAGATTACCCCCAGAAAATATTCAAAAATGTCCAGCTGAAACAAACCTGAATTTTTCTCAAGTTGTTGGATGCAAGGAGCAGCGATAACCTACCACACATAGAAATCCTACCAAGAAATCTGACAAGGGACAAATTTAGCAGTTTGTGTTACATATTTCTCCATGCATTTGCACCCAAAATTGCCTCATTCTAAATAGGTTATTCTTCTCTTCTTTGCATTTATAGCTTCTTATCTCAGTGATGTATGGCATAATCTACTTCAAAATCTACAATCAAAACATAGTTGTAATCTTAAACTCCTCTCTCCCGCTTAAAGTCCTTATCTAAACTTTCCCCAACACCCCATATCCATCACCATATTCTGTCAAAGCATATGTTCCAAGCATATGTCAAAGACATTCTACCCAAGCTCCTGCTCACTCTCTGGTTCCTACTGCTCCAGGCTCAGCCCCCTACCTCTCACCTGAATAACTGCCATCACTTCTTAACTATTCCTGTCTTTATCTTGTCAGTTCATGCCTGAATTCCATGCCTTGCCACCCAGCTCTTCTTGGTGTCATTGCCAGAGATTTTTAAAGACTAATTGTAAGAGTGGTGTACAAATTCACTGTAAGAAATTTGAAAATCATGCTAGAAAATAATAATAAAAATTAAAAATCCCTCAATTCTACTTCCCTAAGATAACCACAATTTTTTTTAAGTCTTTTAAAAGCAACACAGTCAAGATGCCTAAACAGGACCACTGAAGTGACTGGTCCAATGCAACGACTCACCTAATTTAAATGAAAGTATAAGATTGAGATAGAAAGTAATTCTTTCATATTCAGAGAAATTTAATTTCATGATATATTACCTTCAGTGTTCTCATCCTGTCAATTATGCGGATAGTCCTATCTTTTTTAAATGAGAATGATATTGCATCTGCTTCATAATTTGAGAATAGTTTTTATCTAAAGAGAATGAAGAGGGGCTGGCACTGTGGTGCAGCAGGTTAAAGCCCTGGCCTGCAGCACCTGCATCCCATATGGGCACCAGTTCGAGTCCTGGCTGCTCCACTTCCGAACCAGCTCTCTGCTATGGCCTGGGAAAGCAGTAGAAAATGGCCCAAGTCCTTGGGTCCCTGCACACTCATGGGAGACTGGGAAGAAATTCCTAGTTCCTGACTTCAGATCAGCTCAGCTCTGCCCATTGCGGCTATTTAGAGAGTGAACCAGCGGAAGGAAGACCTCTCTCTCTCTCTCTCTCTCTCTCTGACTCTATCTCTCTCTCTGTAATGCTCTCTTTCAAATAAATAAAAAATAAATCTTAAAAATAAAAAGAGAATTAAGAAATTCAAGAAGACTTTTGGGTAAAAGGCACTAAAAAAAAAGAGAGTCCTAAGAGGAAAAATTAAAATTTTTTAAAAATTTTATTTAAGTTTTACCAATTTTATGTATTTCATATATACAAAATCTGGAACTTGATGGTACTTCCCCCCCACCCTCCCTTCCACCCATGCTCCCACCCTTCTTCCTCTTCCCTCTCCTATTCCCACTCTTAATTTGTACAAAGATCTATTAAGGATGTGTGTGTGTGTGTGTGATATATGTGTCTGTGTGTGTATACATACATACATACATGTACACTGCAGAAAGAAATGACCCCCCAAATCTCAGTGTCTTACAGTGACATGGTTCTTGCTCATGCTACATGACTATCTTGGGTCACCTGCAACTCCACTCTACTTGGTCATCTCACTTCACTTCAAGGCCCAGAACAATGCAGTTAACTTTGATCTGAGTATTGCTATACACTGGAAGAAGGGAAGAGACCACCTGGCGAACCCAGCCTGGCTTTTAGAACTTCTTTCAAAAAGTATGTCACGTATCGTTAAAGCACTCACATGCCAACTTCAACATCAATGAAGTAGTATAATTCCACCCAATGACAAGTAGCAAATGTTTGTGAACATGAAAAGTACCCGATACACTTGATACTACTATGGTCTAATTATTATGGAAGCTCTAGACACCATAATAAGATAAGAAAAACAAATAAGGAATGGTAAATTTTAGAAACAATGTACCATTGTCGATGATTTCTCCAGAAAACTTAGAAAAATATTACAATTACTAAGAAAGCTATTAAGATAGTTACCATAAAAAATGAACATTAATAGCTTTAGTGCACAGAATACTAAAAAGTTTTAAAAATGAGGTTCTGAATTTGAGGTTCCAATTTGAAACAAGGAATTAGAATTCAAGAAATATATTCATGCTTTTGATAATACACAGCACCAGTTGTAAATACTTTGCATCCATTATTTATTTTATTTTCATGATTTTTCATCAGTTTCACAGGTGAAGAAAGTGAAGTGGGGCCAGCGCTGTGGCACAGCGGGTTAATGCTGACCACATTAATGCTGGCCTGAAGCACCGGCATCCCATATGGGTGCCAGTTCTAGTCCCGGCTGCTCCACTTCCCATCCAGCTCTCTACTATGGCCTGGGAAAGAAGTAGAGGATGGCCCAAGTCCTTGGGGCCCTGAACCCACATGGGAGACCCAGAAGAAGCTCCTGGCTCCTGGCTTCTGATTGGCACAGCTCCAGCTGTTGAGGCTATCTGGGGAGTGAACCAGTGGATGGAAGACCTCTCTCTCTCTCTGCCTCTCCTTCTCTCTGTGTGTAACTCCAACTTAACTGAAAAGTGATCGCTGTTAAATATAAGAGTGGGAATAAGAGAGGGAAGAGATGTGCAATTCGGGACATGCTCAAGCTGACTTGCCTCAAACGGTGGAGTTAGAAACATACTAGGGGATTCAAATTCAATCCCATCAAGGTGGCATGTACCAATGCCATCTCACTAGTCCCAGTGATCAATTTCTGTTCACAATTGATCACACTGATAGGACTAAGAACCAAAGGGATCACATAAACAAGAATAGTGTCTGCAAATACTAGCTGATAGAATCAAAAAGGGAAAGAATGATCCAACATGGGAAGTGAGATACACAGCAGACCCATAGAATGGCAAATGTCCTAACAGCACTCTGGCCTCATAATCAGCCCTTAAGGCATGTGGATCCGGCTGAAATGCCCATGAGAGTATTTCAGGCATGGAAAGCCAAGACACTCTGGGGGGAAAAAAAAAACCTAAATGAAAGATCTCCACGAGTGAGATCCCAGTGGAAAGAATGGGTCATCAAAGAAGGAGGTACCTTTCTCTGAAGGGAGGAGAGAACTTCCACTTTGACCATGGCCTTGTCTAAATATGATCAGAGTCAGTGAACTCAGGGGGCTTCCATAGCCTTGGCAGCTCATGACAAGAGCTTAGGGTGATTACTGATGCCATAAACAAGAGTGTCAATTTGTTAAGTCAACAACAGGAGTCACTGTGCACTTACTCCTCATGTAGGATCTTTGTCCTTGGTGTGCTGTACATTGAGATTTAATGTTATAACTAGTACTCAAACAGTATTTTTCACTTTATGTTTCTGTGTGGGAGCAAACTGTTGAAATCTTTACTTAATGTATGCTAAACTGATCTTCCGTATATAAAGAGAATAGAAAATGAATCTTGATGTGAATGGAAGGGGAGAGGGAGTGGATAAGGGGAGGGTTGCGGGTGGGAGGGACGTTATGGGGGGGAAGCCATTGTAATCCATATTCTGTACTTTGGAAATTTATATTCATTAAATAAAAGTTAAAAAAAAAAGCTTAAAGGAAAAAAAAAACAAATAAATAAACAAAACTTAAGAAAAAAAAAAAAGGAAGTGAAGTTAAAAACATTGCCAAGTTCATCCAAGTACAAACTGGTGAAAACAAGTTCCAAATCTGCACATTGTAGCTCCAGAGTCTATATTCTTGTTTCCCTGCATTTCATCTCCATGCGCAGTGGCATAGTGGATAAAGCTGCCATCTGCAGTGCCGGCATCCCATGTAGGCACCAGTTCGAGTCCCAGCTGCTCCACTTCTGATCCAGATCTCTGCTATACCCTGGAAAAGCAGTGTAAGATGGCCCAAGTCCTTGGGCCTTGCACCCACTTGGGAGAACTGAAAGAAGCTCCAGGCTCCTGGCTTCAGATTGGCCCAGCTCCAGCTGTTGAGGCCATCTGGGGAGTGAACCAGCAGATGCAAGACCTCTATGTGTGTGTGTGTGTGTGTGTGTAACTCTGACTTTCAAATAAATAAATAAATCTTTTTTTAAAAAAAGAATACATGCACATACAATAAAATATTTCATCATTAGAGAGAATATTGTTTTTAAATTTACACACAAGATAAACATGCTATAATAGCTTTGATTATTTATGTCTCATAGCAAAATAGTGTATTTGATTAAAATCATTTTTTAGTTTGGCTCATAATGATAATGATACAAAAAGAAATTTTCACATTAATATGAGAATAATAGAACTAGGAACAGGCTAAATTTCAAAGTCTATAAATAATTTGTGTTCTTGTAATCAAAATGCTCCATCAGGAGCCTATACAGTGGGTTAAGCCACTGCCTGCAGTGCCAGCAGCTCATGTGACCGCTAGTTTGAGTCCCAGCTGCTCCACTTCAATCCAGCTCCCTGCTAATGTGCCTAAGAAAGCAGCAGACAATGGCCCATGTCCTTGAGCCCCTACACCCAAATGGGAGACCTGGAGGAACCTCCTGGCTCCTGGCTTTGACTTTACCCAGCCTCAGTTGTTGTGGCCATATGGGGAGTGAGCCAGTGGACGGTGGATCCTTCTCTCTCTCTCTCTCTCTAACTCTGGCTTTCAAATATATAAATAAATTCTTAAATAAATAAATAAATTTTAAATGCTCCACCATAGATGAATCATTAAGCATAAGGAAAACATACTTTTAATTTCACTGAACCCCTGAAATAATAAAGAATGAATTGCCTTAAGAAATTCCTGGCAGAACACAAAGAAACACTCTAATAGTAAAGTTCAAAATGGGATGAACCCACCACAATTAGTACCAATTGTGGTGTCATTCTCACTGGGAGCCTTGGAAACCAGAACGGGGTCCAAAACGAAGTGGACAGGGCTCGTTTCAGACAAGTGACAAGATTCAAGATGAATTTTGCAGTGTTCCTTCGTATGTGCTTTATTGGGAAAAGGAAAACGCATGAGGTGGGGCCAGAAAGGAAGAGAAGGCAGGCCTCCACTAACTCTCCCATTAGCCCACAAAGAAGCATCCAGAGTCCATGTTTATCTTGTATGTAAATTTAAAAACAATAACCCCTCTAACGATGAAATATTTTTATTGTGTGTATGTATGCTTTTTTAAAAGATTTATTTATTTATTTGAAACTTCTGGTTTCCTTGCTCGAGTCTATGTTCCCCTAGAGGACAACTGCTCCTGCCATTTAAGCTTTTTATGGGGCAAACATTAAGAAATCACCATTGTCAATGGGACAATACACTTGCTACTAAGAAATAAGGAGTTTGGAGGTGGGTTACCAGATGTTTACTGGACTTGTTTGGTAATTCCAGGCACCCAATACCTGAAGCCCTTAGGGCAAACGGGATTTTGTGCACCCTTGCTCTGGAAGGGAATCTCAGGTCCAGCGGGCAGCTGAGCTGAATGAAGCTCCTCCCACTGGGAGAAAGGTACATCCTCAGGTGTCAGGCAACTGTCTAGTTAATAAAGAACAAATGTTTAAGGAAATGTTGTTTATTGAACTTTGGGCAGGAAGAGAGCCTGACGTTCTTGACTTGGAAATACACTAGGTCAGTTTAAAAGACTGACTTTCAAATAAAATTCATTCTAAAGGGAATCATTAATTTTTTAAAGCAAAAGTGCTAGTGTTTACCAATACTGCAGTGTTCCAAACCACACAGTCATTGCTTTTCAACTGTTATTGTCTATGGCCCTCCTCATAACAGCATGACACAGAGATTTCACAGAGGAGTAAGCATTAGCTCAAGGGAGTAAAATAATTTTTCCGATGTCACACACCTGGTATGTAGAAATGTGGAGACTTGAATTTTGAATGTGATGAGTCTGGAAGCGGTTTTCATAACCACTGCTCTGCTCATGCACCTTAACCATTGATTACCCTGGTAGAAGTGTTTATAAGCTGAACACACTGTTTTATTTTTCCATATTTGGTTCATATTTTGACAGGAAGGCCATCAACACACATTTGTTGTGTGAATAAATTATTGACAAAAAAAACTAAATGGAAAAAAACGATATTTTAAGCTTACTAAACATACTGTACTCTATTTCTAAACCTTTCTGCTTTGACATTGGTACATAGGATAACCAGTTTAAAATTTTGGACCTGAGGTCAGCGCCATGGCTCACTTGGCTAATCCTCTACCTGCAACGCCGGCACCCCCAGGTTCTAGTCCCGGTGGGGGCCAGATTCTGTCCCGGTCACTCCTCTTCCTGTCCAGCTCTCTGCTGTGGCCTGGGAGGTCAGTGGAGGATGGCCCAAGTGCTTGGGTCCCTGCACCTGCATCGGAGACTGGGAGGAAGCACCTGGCTCCTGACTTTGGATTGGCCCAGTACCGGCCGTAGCGGCCATTTGAAGAGTGAACCAACAGAAGGAAGACCTTTCCCTCTGTCTCTCTGTCTCTCACTGTCTATAACTCTCTCTTTCTCTCTCTCTCTCTCTCTGTCTAACTCTGCCTGTCAAAAAAAAATTTGGACTTGAAAATAATTCCACGAAAGCAGAGTTTTTGCATGATCAGCTGTCATAAAATGAATTTTACCCAGGGCTCTCATTATCAATGCAATAGCGTTGTGGTCAATTGTTAATATATTTACTATAACATACAGGAATTTAAATGAAGATAAGAGGGAACAGGATATGTATTTTTTTCAACTTTTATTTAATAAGTACAAATTTCCAAAGTACAACATTTGGATTATAGCAGCTTTTCCCCCCATAACCTCCCTCCCGCCCGCAACCATCCCATCTCCACTCCCTCTCCCATCCCATTCTTCATCAAGACTCATTTTCAATTATCTTTATATACAGAAGATCAACTTAGTATATATTAAGTAAAGATTTCAACAGTTTGCACCCACACAGATACACAACATATAAAGTACTGTTTGAGTAGTAGTTTTACCGTTAATTCGCATAGTACAACACAATAAGGACAGAGATCCTCCATGGAGAACATGCATTTTTAAAAGTTTCCTAAATTACATATTTTAGAGAACACACTGAAGTAAAAAGTGAAGTAATCCAGAATAAATTTGTTTTATCATAGTGAATGTTGACATAATAGTAAGGAATTTGGACAATGATCAAATTCTTCTTACCTTCAAGAAAGATAAAGAGGAGTGGTATAGCCATAAAGCTAGGGGAATACATGCAAGGAACATTTGAAGATATCTGATTTCCTGGATGAACCATGTAACCAATAGAAAGGCTTTCCTACTGTAGCCTTCTGCTTCTCTTAGGAAGAATTGAATGGAGGAGACAAGTATGAATGAGATTAATGGTCTACATATCTCTAACACAGATAGGATCAGGATGAGAAATGCAGTGAGAAGAAGGACTTGCTCGCTTCAGTGCACTCCCCTTATTATCACCAGATGAAATTTTCCCTGAGTCACCCAAGGAAGTTGAACACTTGATGTCGGGTAGACGTGGCCTAAGTGTCAGCTGCTGTACCTAGGAATCCCATGAGTAATAAACAGTAATGAAGGTAATGACCTTTTTCTACTTCACAAAGATGTTTTGTAGATTCACTAATTAATGATTATAAAGTGCTACATCTTATTAAGTTTATTATGATCATTAAGTTCTCATGATGAAGAGATAAATTTTGAAATTTGATGTTCAGTAGGTGGCGTTCTTCCCTCTGGATCTAGAATAAATCCCATCTATACTCTAAGCACTATTTCTGCCCATTTCTTGCTCCTGATACTGAAATATCAGTATTCGCCAGTCTTTTCCTCCAAGCACATGAAAGATTTAAGGAGGACATAGGTATATTTGATTATGATCAGATATCATTTGCATAAACTTTGACCTTGGTTCCATAAATAATGTAGTACACCATTAAGTATATATTTCCCAGTATATATTTAAATATAAAATGAATATAGTAATACATAAATAAATAAGTGCAAAATAAATTATTTATTAGATTTCATAAAATGCATTTATGTACATATATAAATATAACAAAATATATAGTCAACATACATAGCGCATTTTGTTAGTTACTATTTAATTGCTTTATATTATTTGATTCAATCCATTCAACAATCCTTTTTTTACATATATGCTAACAAAAATTGATTTATTTAGTGCTCTTTTCCATTCCATCTCATCAGGAGTATTGAATTCAACTTTACTTTTACCTACTTTTTACCAGTAGGTACTCAAAACTATGCCATCAGTACCGTATAATAATTTGTTCATAGCACATTTCATTTCATCAGCACCACCTAAATACATCCCAGGAACGATTTGATGAATGATGTGTCTCTCTCCAACTTCTCATTCCTCTTCATCAAATTCACCAATCGACATATCCCAATTTCTTATACAGCAAGAGGATGATGGAGCTAGGGTGTTTGTATCTACTAGGAACTGTTTGGCTTAAAATCATTTCTAAGGGGAAGGTCTTTGTTTTATTGTTATTTCAGTTTACAGAGGAGGAATTCCATGACAGATATCAGTTGTTTGCTCAAGGTCATACAATAAGGGAAGCAGGGAGCCAGAGACTAACCCAGATGATCTACTTACAAACCTCAGCCTCTCAACTGCTAAACTTTGTTCCTTCCTGTGCTGCCTACAAATCATCTCCTATGAGAAAAATGTGTGAATTAATGTTCTTTTAAATACAGAACATAAAGTCCACACTTTTTCTATGATAACCACAATTGGATCACCATCATTGAATATAGACAGAATTTTCTGATGGTGATTTCAGGATCATGTCTTAAACAAACACAAAGTTCCAATTACATTCTTTGTTTAATAAGTATTTTTATCCATATAGACAAGTATATATCCTACTATTGCTAAACTTATGAATAATGTTTGTGTTTTCCTTCCCTATTAATTCAGGGAGTGTCTGTGTGGGCAATAGCTTGGGGAGGAGAAGTCACAGATGGATTATTGGCTTTAGCATTTCTGGATGAAGTTTCCTGGCGATAATGACAACACCAAGCCTCTGTACTTTTCCTCCCCAGGTGGAGAGCTTGCCCCAGGACATCGTTTTGGTGATAGAACTTATTGGCAAGTGAACACAGAGAAATGAGTACAAGTAATTTCATTATGCCTGGTGCCACTGTATTATCACCTGAAGAATTTTAATCCTTAGTATAACTAACAATCCTATTAACATAATTTTGACCATCAACCCAGCTACATAGGAGGGTAATTTTAAAAGTCCCAAGGAAAAGGAATTAAAAAGTAAGTTTTTTTGGGTGCCAAAAAATTGCCATTCATGCATATGAGGAATTTTCATAAAGTTCATGCAGAATGCATGTTTAGAGAAACCTATGCATGAATTTCAAAATTTTTCACATCAAAATAAACTCATCTTTTCATTTAATTTTCCATGAGCTTCTCATGTATTCCAACCTCTGAATTAAAACTAGAACCCCCAATTAAGACTAGAACCCCCAATTAAGACTAAAACATGAATATTGATTGGGGTTTCATTTTGTTTTTTTTCTTCCCAATACAGAATATGATTAATAACCAAGAAAAAATTCAAATATATGGGCCTTCATCTGTTGTAAAATGTATTAGAATCACTAAATTTATTTTAAGATGTATTTATTTATTTGAAAGGCAGAGTTGCAGAGAGAGAGAGAGAGAGAGAATGAGAAAGGCTTTTCATCTGCTAGTTCACTCCCCAAATGGCCATGAAGGCTAGAATTGTGCTTGTCCGAAGCCAGGAGCCAGGAACTTCTTCTGGGTCTCCTACTTGAACTCAAACTAGCAACACTTGAGGCAGTGGCTTTACTCCTTACTCCACAGTGCCAGCCCCACTGTAAACTATTTTTAAAAGATAACTTTTAGCCAATACTGTAGCATAGTGGGTTAAGCTACAGTCTGTAGTACTCCAGCATCCCTTGTAGGCACTAATTGGAGTCCTGGCTGCCCCACTCCCAATCCCGCTCCCTGCTAATGAGTATGGGAAAGCAAAGGAAAATGGGTCAAATCCCTGGGCCCATGCAGCCACATAGGAGTCCCAGAAGAAGCCCTGGCTCCTGGCTTCAGCCTGGCGCAGCCTGGCTGTTGTAGCCATTTGAAGACTAAACCAGCAGATGGAAGAGTTCTTTCTCTCTCTCTGTCTCTGTCTCGCTCAGTAACTCCCCATTTCAAATAAATAAATAAATCATTTTTAAAAAAGATAATTTTCAGCTATAACTGCAGGGGGGAAAAAGTTGATAAAGTGCTAGACTTCATACAAAATACACCAGGAAAAATGGTTCTATTCCTTATATAAAAACCCAATACAGACTCAACGTAAGAAAACCAGAAGAGTGGAACCAATTTTACAGAAAGCCCAAAAAAAGTCTGCTGTTGTTGCCCTTGTTGTCTGAATGCTGCTGAGTGAAATTTTCGCCTTCTGTAACTGAAGAGTCCAGGGGAGATGTGACTGAAACACAGCCAGACTCAGCCGCTCGGAGAGGAGCCAAGTCCAGTCTCTCCTTCTTTCTCGTCTGTCCACTGCTACAATATGGCTGCCTCCTCCTCCCAGGCTAACTGCTTTCTTCCTTACCTCAAGACAAACAGGGAGCCGGCGCCGCGGCTCACTTGGCTACTCCTCCGCCTTGCGGCCCCGGCACACCGGGTTCTAGTCCCGGTTGGGGCGCTGGATTCTGTCCCGGTTGCCCCTCTTCCAGGCCAGCTCTCTGCTGTGGCCAGGGAGTGCAGTGGAGGATGGCCCAAGTGCTTGGGCCCTGCACCCCATGGGAGACCAGGAAAAGCACCTGGCTCCTGGCTCCTGCCATCGGATCAGCGCAGTGCGCTGGCCGCAGCGCGCCAGCCGCGGCGGCCATTGGAGGGTGAACCAACGGCAAAGGAAGACCTTTCTCTCTGTCTCTCTCTCTCACTGTCCACTCTGCCTGTCAAAAAAAAAAAAAAAAAAGACAAACAGGGACCCATTTTATTTTAAAACCACAAAGAAACACAGCTCTATGACAAAAGGGTAAAGAATGAGGATGAAAAGAACTGAAATGCATAAAAAACATGAATGATATAGATAAGCAGAATAGGTTGCTTTTCATAAAATAGCTCCAAATACCTGAAGTTGTATAGTTGTACATAACAGAGCCATTAATAGTTACTAAGGGAAAATCAGAGATCTTGGGAGTAGTTTCTCAATTTGGGGTGGGGGCGCTCAATTTTTAGGTATTGTGGATGTAATCTTCCCTTAGCATTTGCAGTTGTTAACCCCAGGACTCCAAGCACTCACCAAAAACTGTGGATGCACAATTTCCTTATAGAAAATGTTGCAGTATTTTCACATACCATACACAGACACACACACACACACTTTCAATCATCTCTAGATTATGTAGCACATATATGATGAAAATTATTTTCAAATAGTTATACTATATTGTTCACGGATTTATGACCAAATAAGTCTGTACATGTTCAGTAAAGATGCTGTTTATTTTCTTTTTTTTAACTATGTATTTGAGAAGCAGAGAGGGAGAGAAGAGAGAGAGAGCTTCCGTACACTGGTTCACTCCCCAAATGGCCACAGCTGCACTGAGTCTGGGTCCTGAGCCAAAGCCAGGAGCTTTTAACGCAATCAAGAACCCCATCTCTTCACTCATTACTGTTGCTTCCCACGGTCTGCATTAGCAGGGAGCTGGTATCAAGAGCTAGAGCCAGGTATTGAAACCAGGCATTCCAGTATGGGATCCAAGTGTCCCAACCAGCCTTTTCTTTTTATTTTTTTATGTTTTTAATTTATTTTTAAAGAAATACAAATTTCCTAAGTACAATTTTAGGAATATAATTATTCTTCTCACCATATCCACCTGCCCTCCTCCTCCTCCCTCTCCCCTTGCCAGTCCCATTCTCCATTAAGATTCATTTTCAATTAACTTTGTACACAGAAGACCAACTCTATATAAGAAAAGATTTCAACAATTTGCACACACATGCACACACACATGCACACTAGTTCTTTGAGAACTAGTTTTACAGTTAACTTTAGTAATACAACTCATTAAGGAAAGAAATCCTGCAAGGGAAGTTAGTGCACAGTGACTCCTGTTGTTAATTTAACAATTAACACTCTTATGTATGATGTCTGTGACCACCCGAGGCTCCTGACATGAGCTGCCAAGGCTATGGAAGCCTTTTAAGTCCACAAACTCCATCAGTATTTAGACAAGGCCATAAGCAAAGAGGAAGTTCTCTCCTCCCTTCAGAGAAAGGTACCTCCTTCTTTGATAGCCACTTCCTTCCGCTGGGGCCTCACTCACAGAGATCCTTCATATAGGTCATTTTTTGCCACAGTGTCTTGGCTTTCCATGCCTAAGATGCTCTCATAGGCTTTTCAGCCAGATCCAAATGCCTTAAGGGCTGATTCTGAGGTCAGAGTCCCACCAAAGTCTTAATAGCTGGGCCAAACATTCACCACAAGGTGCCATGTTTTTAAGAAAAGTGTTTTAATTTCAATTTTATTGAATCCACAAATGCAGAAACCTGGGATTCAGAAGGCTAACCACACAGTCTCTCAGGAAAAATGGCTGTGGTGACTCTGATCCAGCATTGCATTGCTTACCACATCTATGTTTGGAGAGATTGTCTCTGGATAGGACACTTATAGTGAGAAAACATTTATATATGGCTGGACTTTAAAAGAGTCTCACATTGTTTTTGAAAGCACATAGTAACTGGGCTGCAAGGACTCTCTACAAGGGATACATGTAAGGTAAATCCTGATTTAGATACATATGCCTTTTAATTACTTTTCTGTATGATAAATATTTTGTACAAGACAGTTTATGTGGGGCCAGCGCTGTGGCATAGCAGGTTAACACCCTGTCCTGAAGCGCCAGCATCCCGTATGGGCGCCAGTTCGAGACCCAGCTGCTCCGCTTCCAATCTAGCTCTCTGCTATGGCCTGGGAAAGCAGTAGAAGATGGCCCAAGTCACCAGGCCCTTGCACCCACGTGGGAGACCCAGAAGAATCTTCTGGCTCCTGGCTTCAGATTAGCTCAGCTCCAGCCATTGCAGCCAATTGGGGAGTGGACCAGCAGATGGAAGACCTCTCTCCCTCTCTCTCTCTCTCTGCCTCTCCTCTCTCTGTGTGTAACTCTGACTTTCAAATAAATAAAAAAAACTTTAAAAAAAAGACAATTTATGCAACTACATTTCCTCAATCTCATGTCAAATTCACCATAATTAGTCTTCAAATTTGAGCTCGGTAAAGTCAAGATAAAGATAAAGATAAAGATTCTGAAGGGTCAATCTGTCAATAGCCAAAATAACGCTAAAAATCATCTTTCTGCCTTAAATTTTAAAACCCCATGACAAAAGCTTGAAAGGTTTCACCTATAGCTCAATTACATATACAAATAACTCCTCTATAAATCACTTTATATAAAACATTCATACTTGAAATTGACTTGGAAGAAACATAAAACTTATATCTCCATTATCTCATCTGTAAAGTGTAAATAAAAATAATAACAGCTCTACCTAGCTCATATGGATGAAGAAATCTCATTTGGAAGCTAGAACTCAGGGAGGGGGAAAAAGTTGCTCAAACACTCTTGCTCCAAATCCACATTTTAACTCTTCTGAAATAAAATGTTTTTAAAAGTACATCTGTTTTGTAACTTGGTGGGGCTATCATCCGTAAGCTAGGACAGATTCTGGAAGACTACACCAAGGAACAAGAGAGAAGAAAGAGAAAGATGCAGAGTATAGAACAAAGTCAGCCAGAGGCACCTTGGCCTTCAACGTGGAGACAGATGTCATAGTGCCTGCCCTCACGTGCACCTGCATCAGACCATTCCCACTTTGAAAAGTGTCAAAGGTAACAAAAATGCCAAACATTGGTTTCAAAGTTCCCCTTCTCAAACTCAGAGCCTCATCCATAGGACAGCAGACACTTAGGCATTGTCCACTGAAGGTGGCCTTTCTTCTTTACTGAAGTGCTCCAAGGGTGAGGAAATCTTCCAGCATTTTCTCACTGATTCCTATTTGTCTAGTGTGCCAAGCACAGTCATGCCTCAGGACCTTTGCACTGTCGCTTCATCTGGAAAGCTGTTTCCAGGTCTTTTCAGAGCTTGCATCATTCTGGTCCCTACACAGATGAATTTAGCACGGAGACCTTTCCTGAAATCAGATTTCACTTTTCTGCCCCTGCCCTGTATCCCTTACCCACCAACCCTTCTCTGTGGAT